GGGAGCGGGCACGGAAGGGGCTCTTGGGGGCGCCGCCATCGCCCCCGGCCCCCACAGCCTGCCCGCCCCCTCCTCCCAGCGCCCGAGCCCCGCATGCACTCCAGCAGCCTGGTCTGGCTTAAACGTCTGCTGCTTCGGGGTGTTAAGGGATGTACGTTTTGTGACGGAAGGACGGATAGCGGGAGGAATAGTCATTTCGTTCTCTACAGAGTAGATATGCAGTTGTTTGTTTGGTTTGGTGTTTCCTTCCATGCCGCTCCTTGTGGTAACGACTTCTCATTCCAGCTCGCTCTCCTCCCCCTTCGTCCCCCCTCAGCCTGTGGCTGTAACTTTGTGACAGCTCTCCATCACTCTCTTCCCCATGTGGCTGTCATGCCACTGTGCGGTTCTTTTCACCATTTTTGTCTTCAATCATCTGATAAACGCCAGAGCACTCGTCAGTGTCTTTTATTCTTTCCCATGAGGCTGTTCCCCGGAACATTTTGCACAAAAACCAGAGGAAATAATAGAGTGAAAACTTCTGTCGCCTGTAACACCAGTTACAGCTGTAAGTCACGGCAGAGAAGTAGGTTTTGTACATGTAATATAGATGAAGTAAGGATGTCTGCCTTGGACCTCCTTGGCAGGTTATGGACTTGTTCATCCCATGGACTGTTACTGTGTATCTCCTTTTAGGAATGGAGATTCTTAGACAACTGAGTTAAAATTTTAAATAAAACTGCGTAAAAAGTTCACCTTTCTGTTAGAGGTATTAGCCAAGGGCTGGATAGCCCCAGCTGCTAAATAATTAAGGCTTGATTGATTGTATTGGCCAACTTCAACCAGATTTGGCATTGTAGGAGAAATCTTAAAGCTGAGCATGCCCAAGAATTAGATGTCTGGATGAAGGGGAGACTCAAGTTAATGCGGTCGTGACTCTTTGGCTGTCTGTTCTGTTCCAGCCACGTGGCAAGCAGGGTCCGGAGGCTGTTTGGGGTTTTTCCTCTTTTGGTGGAGCAGGTCTCTGATCCACTTCACCATGTGCTGCACTAACGCCTGTTGCATGCAGATGTGGCCGAGCAGCTGGGGAGTTGCTGCTGGGGCTGGCATTGCCACTGAGGTTGCCATCGCACATGCAGCCAGAGCCCTAGAAGAAAAAAGTTACTGAAGCAGGGATTCAACAATTAGTGGTTGTTTGGCCTTCGGGATGGTCAGCTGTATGGCATTTTGCCTGATGGTAGTCAGGACACATAAGGAACATGACAGACTTGAGGGGGTGGCGGCTGGAGGAAAGAGGAGAAGGGGCATCAGTGGACATGATGGGGTGGAATGAGAAACAAAGGGGCCATTATGAATTGGGTTAAGAGCCGGAATTATGCTCTGGAGCGAGGGGCACAGGGCACAGATCTGTACAGAATCATGTCATTACTTTCAACTGAGTGAGATGACTCCTGGTATTTCTTTATTTCCCTGGCAATTAATCTAAAAGCATTGGAGGATGGTGGCTGTAACATCCTTGTGGTCAGCCAGAAGCCTGGCGAGGCTGTGGCTCCAGCAGCCTTCCCAAAACGGGCAGCCCTTCGCTGGTCAGGCTCTTGTGCTGCCCCTCGCACTGTGTTGGTGCTGTGTGCACTGCTGCCCGGTGAACTGGGAGAGTTGTCTGGTGGAAAGTGAGCATGGGGAACAGGGAAGAGACAGAGAGAGGTTGCTTCAGGGCCTCAGTTGCAAGACTAGAGCTTGAAAGAAGCCACCTAGGGATTGCCTTCATGGAACGGGACTCTCCAGCAGCCTTGAGTCCAGAGGAGCTGGAAACAAAACCAAGAATCTGGTCCGGAGGTCTTTCTGTTAAAGAATATGACATTTCACTAAATAGTTCGTTATTGTTACAAGCTCAGGGTTTCTCAGGCTTGCCTCTGAGCAAAGATTATTGGTTAGGCTAAGGAATTAGGTGACGTGTTGCTAATATTTTTAAAAATAAAAATGCAGGGCATTGATGTGAAATGTGAATGGGAACTGAGAGGAGGAGAAGGAGTATATAGTTATTACTGTGTCTGTGTAATGCTTTCCCTCTGAAGCCTCACATTACTGTTTAAATGAGTGGATCTGCTGGACATTTCGAAGCAAAGCTTACACTTTTCTTCCAGTTTTTTACTTTGTAGATAGCTTTATAAATACAAAACTGCATGATAGTTTGTACGGAATCAAGAAAAGAAGTGTCGCGTAGGGGAGCTTTTAACCGCATCTTACAATGTTTCTATTCAAACTGTAACAATACAGCTTTATGAGCAGTTAGTTGAATAGTTAAGGGAAAAATAGGTAATATATGTTAACAGGTTGTGTTGTCTCTAAATCCAAAGTCAATTTCTGTATTGTCTAAGGAGTATTTGGAAACATTTGTTTCTGCCTTTCATTTTCAAAACTGAAATAAGCTGGTTGTGCACTAACCAAGCCAATCTAAAATTAGGATTGATTTGCTTCTGAAGAGTGTTTTTCATTCAGTCATGTAAGATTTTGTATTTTCACTGTACTTTACCAATATGAGCATTTTCCAGCTTCCTTTAAGATAAGTGTTGTTCCCACCGAGTGAGGGCAGAGGGACTTTACTGGGGCTCTCCTTTGCCCACAGTTTTCTTAATGTGGAATTTTCAAAGGCAAGTGAACTACTTGAAAGCATGCTTCAGACTTGCAAAATTGCAACGTATGTAATTGGTAAAGAAAGAAAGAATAAAATCTAAGGCTTCTACAGCTTTTATTCTGTGGTAACTAAATTCTAAATTCTTTTGTCAGAAAGACAGCAAGTGCTACGTAATTGAGATGGGAAAAGAACATAGGTCATTTGTGTGAAGCCTTAACCTTTAACGGGTAAGAGGCGCTCCCTGTAGTGGGATGTTGTAAGAGAATGATGTTGTGTTTGTGTATATGCATGTGCAGAGATGAGAAGGTAATGCATACTTAGACCTAAAAATCAAGCTCGGCTTCTGAAGGGAACACCTTTAGATACTGCTACAGTTCATGTCCTAATGGAGTGATGCATATTTTCACTAAATGCTTGAAAACAAAACAACACCTGAAGTATCTGCCTTTTCTGCTGATTTACTCGTGCTTGGGTGGATGCCAGTATAAGACTTCTGGGGTTTTCTGTTCTTTTTTCTACTTTTTAATTCTATGATACAAATACTGTTTAATAAATCAAGTTCTGTCTCAATGTAAGTTGTCACTATATTCACTCCTCTCTGTCACAAGCTGTTTTAAGGGGCAGCAGTTTGAATTCTGCCTTTCCAAATATTTCAATGCCTGTCAACCTCAGCAGAGGCATCAGGATTTTTTCTTTTTTTTAAGAGCGATTTACTCGTGGTGATTATGTTGTCAGACTGTGAGCTGCATCTGTGCATTAGAAAAGTCATGAAACCTTTAATAAAAGTTTTCCTGTGGCATGAGCACTGAAATTCTGAACTCTTTTGTTTTTATTTGTTTAAAGACACCAAGTAAGGAAAATGAAATTCTCAAGTGGTTGCATGATTTCCAGAAGTGGATTTTGACCTCTGAAAGCAATATGCAGATGAACAACTTTTTTATTTATGTGTGTATGAGGCTTTTTATTGCAGCTTTCTCAGTTCATCTTATATACTTAATAAATTTCTGGGAAACCATGAAGAAAAAAAGCATTATTTTATGAAGTACCTAGGTGGAGTTGTACTGAATTCAGCCTTGAGACTGAAATATTTCTCAATACGTGGTAAAATGAGATTCTACCTGTCAGTATGAAAATGCCCATCATTTTATGGGGAGGATTATAAATGGAAAGAGCACTCTTGGTGAAGTGTCCTGAAACAAAACTCAGTATTTCTTTTGGTCTGAGAATGTCTGTCATTAAACTAAAAAAAATCCTTTCTCTTTATCAAAGCAGACTTATTCTCTAAACAATGGGAAATTTCAAAAAAGAAGAGCTTTGTGGAATAGTTGAGTTTAAAGCTTCCTTTTCCTTTTTGAAACAGAAAGATGATGACATTGAAGAGGGGGATCTTCCCGAACACAAGAGGCCTCCAGCACCGATAGATTTCTCAAAAATTGATCCAGGCAAGCCTGAAAGTATCCTGAAGCTGACGAAAAAGGGGAAGACCTTGATGATGTTTGTCACGGTATCAGGAAATCCCACAGAAAAGGAGACGGAAGAAATTACTAGCTTGTGGCAGGGCAGTCTCTTCAATGCAAACTATGATGTGCAAAGGTAAGCTGTTGTACGCAAGGATCGAGTTCTTCCTTTTACAGAACCCTTGGTTCTTTCTTCCTGAAAATCTCTTCAACTGTTCATCCTGTGCCCTTCCCCACTTCCATCATCCATCAGTATTCCTTTGTTTCTGTATCAGTGGGTATACCTTTTTTTTTTTTTTTTTTTTTAAGCCACGTTACAAAAATTCTGGTGTGGTACAACATCAGATGTGTGATGCACGTATAGCTTAGTTTCTTTTTATCTCGTTGTTTCAGCTATTTATCAGTTTTAGCTGCAGTAGTTTGCCTTTATGTGCTTGATGGAAGACATCACGCTTGGAAGACTTCTCACCACAAAAGGCTTTTTGTTCCCCTGGCTAAAAAATGTGATTTTTCTCTCCGAGAGAGAATTATTTTGAAACAGAGGAATGTTGTGCTCTCGAATTGAGGCTGGGCAGGGTTGCAGCAAGTGTATAAAGCAAATTTAATGCCCATTAGTGGATTTTACAAAGTTCTGAATTAGCTCCTAAGGATTTTTTGTATTCTTACTTCTCCTTAGTTACTTGTAAACTTAATACACTTTACTATTACTTGTGCTAGAAAATTGTTCTCTTGTCCCCATCCCCAGTTAACAACAGCAAGACCAACTTCTTGCTTTTTAATGTATCCCTGAGTTGTGGAAGCGCTCTGAATTAAGCAAAATGTTGTAGTGCTTGAAAGGCATGGAGCTAACTTATCTTTCCTCTAGGTTTATTGTTGGCTCAAATCGTGCCATCTTTATGCTACGTGATGGTGGTTACGCCTGGGAGATCAAAGACTTTCTGATAAATCAAGAAAGGTGTGCGGATGTTACTTTGGAAGGTCAGGTTTATCCTGGCAAAGGAGCAGAAGAAAGTGAGAAAGTGAAAAACAAAACAAAACCTGAAAAAGCAAAGAAGAAAAAAGATGCAGACAAGAAACCTAATAGCATCAAAGAGGACAACCGAGCAACCAAACAGAGAGAGGATCTATGACGGACGTGTTAACCAGACTGAGTATTGCTCTGCTGTTCCTTGAAGGGAAACTAAATTTCTATACAATTCCTGGCTTTATTGGGGGGGAGGAAGGAAGCAGAGATTACTGAGGTTAACAGACTCCCATGTTGAAATTCACCAGTTTGCTTATTAATACTGTCCATTTATTTCGTTACAAGAAAGGTAATGTTTAATACCAGCGATTGACTACTTTAGTTTGTAATTTTTATATGCTTTTGTTGTTGTTTAAAATTAACATACAAATCTGTGTGTCTAACATCACAAACTTAATTTAAGTGGAAAAGAAGAAATACAGTCTCAGAATACACTGATGTTCATCTGTAGTAGCCGTGTCCATCTTGGGTATGCAACTCGGTCATTGATTCATAGCTGCTGTTAGGTAGCAGAGTGCAGTTGCTAAAAAATTCTCTTGGAAGCCAGTTTGCTCGATTCAGTTGGCACAACTACCTAAAATTGCAAGGAAGGGTGTTACAGTGGCCAAAGATGCCTGAAATTACATGGTTTAGGACATGTCTGCTTAGACTGCCTGTTGCTTTAAAATAAACAAAACCTATTCTGTATGTCCCCAGAAATCCACGGAAGTGCTGAGAAGCACAGTAGAAGCTAGGGCAGATATCTGGCTAATCCGCTGCGAATCAGCACAGAAAGGAGATTCTGTGCCCAGCAGAAGTGATGCTGGGGTGTTAATGGCATTACAGTACCCACGGGGGCCCTGTGGGGTGAAAGGTCAGGTTCATGCCATTCAGGTTGCTCCTTGCTGCCAAAGAACTGTGCCTGTGGAAGCAGATGTTATGTACGCCCCATTGTCTAGACCGTGAGCTAGAAGAAATAGCTTTAACTCTGAAATTAATTTGTTTTGCTGGTTTAAGGGTTTGTTTAAATCTTTGAAAAAGCACTAGTTACAGTACAGAGTTAAACTTTGAGTTAGCCACATCACTTACCGGTGTTTAGTAACCAGATTATATTTTGGGTAGGGATTCCTAACCAATGTGGTTGATTGTCAATGAACATTTGATTTAAATACTATGGAGTTTGATGTATGGGAGCAAATTCATTTTTTCCTTGAAAGACTGTATAATTGGGAAGGTTTTATAATTATTCAGATTGTATTCAGTCAAATGCTTTGCTTAGAATTGTTTCCCTTCTGCCTTACTATCAGTTAAGGACTAAATGCACCTTGTTTGTATGGTCCACATTGTTTTCCAGCGGATGAGCACAGTATTAACTGTCTTCATTCAATATTACGAAGATGTTACTTTGACTCTTTATTTAAGGTGCTAAAATCCAAGTGTTTTGGATAAAAGGTCCTAATTGAACCATAATGGTTGATCTTGTGGAATACTTCAGTATCAAAAGTGGGAAACTGTGACTTACTGAGTGCTTGTTCTGAAATAAACGATGTCACTAAGCTTACTGTTTCACTGAGTAGTAAAACTGTGTAAAGAATTACATATTAGTTACACTAACTCGTCTTTGGTTTCTGTACATAAGGTCTAAATGATGCCGATGAAGGTTCCAGGTGACTGTTTTTATTTAATTTTAATTATATTTGTAGGTGGTTAGGACTAAAGAAACCTTTCCTGCCACGCTTCATTAAACAGGCCTTTGCCTGTTTGTCTGAGTGGAAAGATGAAAATCATGTATTTTGGGTCCAGCTGTATTACTTTTGTATTCTACTATTAATCCGAATGTGTAGCAGAGTTGAAAAGAGTCTCTGTGGGTATTTGGATATTGCACTGCATTGAGGAGAGATGTGCAGTCCATTTCTTGTTCATGAGGAGTTCATCATTTCGCCAAGTGTTCTGGGTTTGCACCTCCCTTTTTGTAAAGAATGTTACTTCTCATCTCAAGATAAGATGGTCAGAGTGGTCAGACAAAACTATAAATATGAAACGTTAATGAGGTTTTTCTTTGTCATCTCTATACCATAGATTTAAGCTGTAAAATTCAGATTACGATCAGAAACATGGAGATGCAGTTTCTGTACTTTTCCTAATGTTATGAAACACAAACGTGATTTATTTTTTTGATGAAATTGGGTTCTTCCTGAGCTAAATAATTAAGCAATGCAAAACAATATACAAGTGATACAAAAGCAAATTAGCCAAGGAGGAGAGAAACAATTGCACTATAGCTATAGCCTGGCTTTTGAGAGTAGATACTTGCTTTAGTCGTTCATAAATCTTCATTTACAGTAGGCTGGGTCTTGTCCCTGGATAGGGGAAAGGAGGGGGCAGCTTTGTTGAAATGCAGCCTGCCGATTGACTGGATTATTTGTTTGGTTGTTTTGAGTCATTAAGTTGCCTATGCCAAATGCAGGCATGTTTTGTGCCACTTAGCTTATTTAAATTTTAGCGTTTGGTTTTTCGGGGCTTCTCTTAGGTTTTAATAGGAGTAATGACTTGAGGGTTGCGTTTTGATACAAAATTCAAAGTACTGCCTTCAAGTATCTTTTTTTTTTTTGTCTTCCGTTTCTCTTTTTCCTTCTCTGCTTTTCATGCTTTACACTCAAATCATTAAATATGATAGTAAGTATAATGTGGCAGTCTGGCAGGAACTTCTTCAGCAGCCAGTTTTTCTGTAGCATCACAGTTCATAACTCTACTCCAAAACAACTTATGTTCCCTTTTAAAACTAACAAGTCTGAGAGCCTCACACTTGTACTGGTGCAGTGTTACATAAGCAGGTGTTATTTCGTAATGATTTAAGAGGCCTGAACACAATATCACTTTTATATATATATATATATGAAGTATGTATCTTAAAAAAAAATTAAAAGTTGCTTAAGGTCATTAATGTTCTATAGGTACCCCAGCAGATGTTAGATTCTGCATTTGAGTCTCATCAGACTTCCAATAACAGTTTTTTGGCTCTACACAGGGGCAATTCGGATACAAGCTTTAAAACTGATTTCAACAGATTATAGTTCTTACTATTTCCTTTTTTTTTTCAGTACTATACAGAGGTACGTGGAAAATCGTTTGCTTTTATGATGGCCAAATGTCTGCTGCCTTTCTCCACTCAGATTAGTGGTTTCTCTGTTCTAGTGGCATAAGTAAGTTTTCTAAGTTATCATCTTTTTAACCCAGCTGTTCTCAGAAAAAAAAAGTTTGTCAATGATACTACACGAGATGTGGTTGCACTTTGTGAATATTTTCCAATGGACAATCAACTTTTTATGTAATAAAACACTGGAAGAAATACCTTGGGGGTTGGGTTTCTTTGTTTGTTATAGAGATAATGCTGATACATACTGTGTGCCTTACCAGTTTTACTGGGGAAAAAAAAAATCTTATCTAGAAGAGTACAAGTGCATCCCCTGTTCTTGAGGGCTTAACTTCATCAAGCAAAGTAGGAAAGTTGACATGTAAATTACTAGGACCAGGGCTCATATGACCAGAGAGAAGCACCATGTGCAGTAAATGAATAAATGCTGGTGTTTGAATTTGTAACATCATCACCAGCTACTAAATCTTACTAATTAGAGATGCATGCACTGTCGACATTCATTTAAAAAATGACACTTGCATGTGCAGTCACTATTGCATGGCTGAGATTTATACCTGGTGGTGCAATAAAGCTCCCTGTAACACCATGCCTGTTACCAGTCCTGTCTCTCTATCTGCCGCACCATCTTTGCCTTTGGGCGCATCATTTCCTCGCAGGGAAGTTCGTGGTTCCTATTTCTTTTGCAGCTTCTCTTAGTTTGCCTTGAGCTTTGTTGCCACACTTACTACTAGGTGAAGTACACATTTTTTGATTTCCATCCTTAAGTCTGTTATGACACATTCACAAACTGAGACAGGATTTCTGATTTTTCACTTGAGTGGTCAAAACATTCCTCTGAACAGTCAGATCAGCCGTGGCTTCAAGAAGACTCTACATTCCTTTTTTTCTGAACTCTTTCCATTTTCTTGTAAAAAGGAAATCGTAAATTAAAATACCATTTTGCTCATATCCAGAACAGCCTTCTTTTGTCTCCTATTTGGCCACTGTTCTCATGGGGTTTATAGTAAAGCTTGGAAATTACTTCCAGTTTTTATCTGTGGTTCACTTCTTTTTCTGTTCAAGGAATAACAGTGTTTGCCTTTTCCAGAGGGTTTTTTTTTTTTAATTGCATTGGATGTTTCTAGAAATTCAAAGAGCCCATGCCCAGATAATGGGGGTGCCCCTGTTTTTACAAATACCTGTTCCATTGGCACTCATGCTTCTCATTCTTAGGATTGTCATCCTACTGTGTCTGTTGATACACTTTTATTTGATAATTCTTACTCTGCGATAAAATGAACTATTTTTGCATATCACTGTTTTCTGCCTTTCGCACAGTGCCATTTTAACAGGGACAAAACCCACTGGATTCAGTTCAATTGCCAGAAGGTTAGCGCTGCTTGGATTTATGAAGGAAAAACACCCCAATTGAATTTTTTGGTGGTGGTGGTTTCTCTCCTCCAGTAGAGAAGTCAGCGTGAAGGGGGGTGGACACATCATCTGCAGCAGAAGAGGTCTGTGCAGTGAGTAGTACTTGAAGTATAACAGGTTACAACCAAGTGTTACAGGGCGCACCAGCCGTTATCCGAAGACTTTGTTTCTTTCCCATGTGACGCTACTTAACAGACCAGTATTTTCACTGTTGATACTGGTGTCTGCTGGGGATCAGTTATCAGTGGCATTGTATCAATGGATACGGATCTCTTAACCATCGTTTAAATTAACAGTAATAATTGTAATAAAGATTTATTTTTTTTTTTAATGGGAATATTTTGTTGGGTTTTTTCTTTTTTTTTTTTTTAATGGGAATATTTTGTTGGGTTTTTTCTTTTTTTTTTTTTTAATGGGAATATTTTGTTGGGTTTTTTCTTTTTTTTTTTTTTAATGGGAATATTTTGTTGGGTTTTTTCTTTTTTTTTTTTTTAATGGGAATATTTTGTTGGGTTTTTTCTTTTTTTTTTTTTTAATTTTAAATTATTACACAGACATTGCTATTTTGGGAGGAAGAAATGGGACAGCTAAAGGAGCTT